CTCTCTCTTTTTTTTCTTTTCTTTTTCATACTCAGCAATATTTAGGAGTTAATCTGTCTCAGGAATTAATCTGTCTCAGGAATTACTCCTGGTGGTGTCTGGGGGACCGTATGGGATGCTAGGGATTGGACCCTGGTTGTCCTACCCGCTGTTCTCTGCCCCTTCTTCTGTTTTTTCATTATTAAGCAGATAGAAACATTATTATATTTGGACTCCAATTATGTATAGCACATTTTCTGTCATCGTGGGCTTACGGGGAGGCAGGTGCTTTCTCAGTCCCTGTTAACAAGTGTGTATGTTGATCAAATAAAAACTCACTAGGAATGTAGATAGATCAATATAAATGTATTCATACAGTATTATAGTATAGTTCAAAACTATCTGGATATCTAAAATTTAAACACATTGTAGTAACTTTATTTATTTTTTAAATCTGAATTCTTCTAATACAACTTTATTAAGCTGTCTGCCAAGTATTGCAGCCAAGTTTACCAAATCTTCTGCTGAAGCAAAATGTTTCAGCTTCATTTGCCATTCAATCCAATACACTTGTTTAAGAACAAGTCCCTCTTCCTTCCTTCCTTCCTTCCTTCCTTCCTTCCTTCCTTCCTTTCTTTCTTTTTTTGTTTTTTTTTCCATAATTTTATTTATTGAATCACCATGAGAGCAATTAGGTCAACACCGGTACCTTCACCAGTGCCCATTCTCCACTACCAAAAACGCCAGTATACCCCTATCCCATACCCTCCCCCTACCTGTGGGGCAAATAATTTCCACATTACTCTCTCTCTGCTTTGATCACATTCAATATTTTGACACCAGACCCACCATTATTATTTGGGATTTTACCCAAGCACTCAGACCTGCTGAAAAGGCAACAGTAGACAATTTGTTTTCTATTGCTGGTTAAGAATAACAATAATGCAGTAGTGGTTGCGCGATTTTGAAATTCCGAAATTCTAACAGTTAAATCTGAAGGGATTTCTACCAAAACCTGATGGGTTTCGAGATTTGTTCCTGAGTCTCTGGGATCATGGCCATTAAGCAGCTTGATCAGGAGCCAGAAAGACCATTCGTGGGCGACAACTTGGGGTCTCGTTGGGGTGTGGAGAAAAGGACCGACTCCACCCATCCCATGAGGCCCTGCGTGTCTCATCACTGAGGGCCCAAACCTTAATTCCAATGGCCTCTGGAGGATGGTGGCCACTGAGCCGCCTATAGGGAGTAGGTGGAGGGACAGCACCCTTTCCGCCCTGGAATGGCCTGGTGACAGTAACCTACTGCAGGGTCCGGACGCATTTCTGCCAAAAGCCACTGGTTCCGAGATTTGTTTCTGAGTCTCTTGGATCATGGCCATTAAGCAGCTTGATCAGGAGCCAGAGAGGCCGTTCCTGGGCGACGACTCAGGGTCTTGTTGGGACAGGGAATAAAGGGCCAGCTCCACCCTCATCCCGTGAGGCTCCATGTGCCTCGTCACTGCAGGCCCAAACCTGACTATCCAGTGGCCTCTGGAGGATGGCGGCCACTGGGCCTCCAGGGGGAACAGCCCAAGGCACAAAATCTATTCCCACCTGGGGTGGCCCAGCACCAGTAACCTACTGCAGGGACTGGACGCATTTCTGCCAAAAGCTGCTGGATTCCATTGTTGGGATCGGGAGTTCCCTAGCCCTGGGAGGTGCGGAGAGACCAGATAGACACAATTCCTGCAGGAGAAAAAACGGGGTTTATTTAGACCAGCATGCTGGGGCTCCGCAGCATACCCCAAAAATGGGCAGTGGCTGAGAGCCCCGAACATCTTCAAAGGGGATCTTATATAGGCCTTCACTGGCCGTTACAGCAAAGCCCGCGCATTTCATAGCCAATAGATTTGTAACAACATATACTTTCTTAACCAATCCATTTAAAAGTACCTCACGCCTTAGCCTATAGATTCAAAGATCAGCATTTACGTACATCAATTGTCAGCACAAGCAAGGTTATAGCTGGAATCATTAAGCCTTAGGTAATCTCCCTTGACCATCCTCGTTTTGAGTTACCCAAGTCTGCAGGGTGCTTTAGTGAGACAATACATTCCAGGAAAGGGCAATTTCCCCCAACCACCCGCATCCTGAGTTATCCTTTACCCAAATCTGCAGGGTGCTTTACTGAGACAATACATTTCAGGGACAGTAAATACACCTGAATCCTGTCACACTTGGTTTAGAAAGAAGTTATGCCCTGTTCACTTTCCAAGTCCCCTCTCCCCCAGGTGCAAAGCAGTCAAGCAGTTTTACAGAAAGCAATGTTGCAAGTTAGCTAAAGTACACAAAAATTTGATGCCCTAATATGGATTCTTTCACCATGATTTGTTTCTGAGTCTCTGGGATCATGGCCATTAAACGGCTTTATCAGGAGCGAGAGAGGCCGTTCGTTGGCAGCAACTAGGGGTCTTGTTGGAGTGGGGGGAAAGAGCCGGCTTGATACCCATCCTGTGAGGCCCCGCGTGTCTTGTCACTGTGGGCCCAAACCTGTCTAATGGCCTCTGGCAGATGGCGGCTACCGAGCTGCCAAGGGGGACCAGGCGGAGGGACAGCATCCTTTCCCCCTTGGGTTGGCCCGGTGACAATAACCTATTGAGCGGTCTGGATGCATTTCTGCCAAAAGCCGCTGGGTTTCGAGATTTGTTTCTGAGTCTCTGGGATCATGGCTGTTAAGCAGCTTGATCAGGAGCCAGAGAGGCCGTTCATGGGCAGTGACTCGGGGTCTTGTTGGGATGGAGAGTAAAGGGCCAGCTCCACCCCCATCCCGTGAGGCCCCACGTGTCTCGTCACTGTGGGCCCAAACTTGACTGTCCAGTGGCCTCTGGAGGATGGTGGCCACCAGGCCGCCAGGGGGAACGGGCCAAGGCATGAAACCTATTCCCACCTGGGATGGCCCAGCTCCTGTAGCCTACTGCAGGTTTCTGCCAAAAGGCTCTGGGTTTCAAGATTTGTTTCTGAGTCTCTGGGATCATGGTTGTTAAGCAGTTCAATCAGGAACCAGAGAGGCCATGCCTTCAATTATATATAGCTGAGCTGGAGGTGGTTTGTGGGTGTGTCTCCCACATACCTAACTTTTGACTGCTTACTTTCTTGGTAAACTTTGCCCCAAGTTTTTGGGTTTTGGCCAAAGGCACAGTAACAATTTGAGGGTATCTGGAAGTCTGAAGGCGCATCAGGCTGCTGATGCACTCGCCTCATAGATTTACCTGCTGGTGGCAGCATACCCCCTGTAGTGACTTTTAAAATGCTTATAAATAAACACATCTGAAAATCAAAAAGAGAATTGGTTCCTTTGTGTATATATAACCTACATAAAGATAATAACTTTTTTTATATGTGGGATTATATTGGAAAATTTTTGTCTTTATCATCTAAATTTTCTGTGTATATTAAGTGTTGTAGAATGACAAAAAAGCCAAACCATTAAAAGAAAGTTAAAAGACTACAAAAGACTGGAGAAAAATATACTGAATCTTGACAGTGTTCATCTTCAGTAGTGTGATTATGAAATTTTGTCTATATTTTTGTGCTTCTTTGGCTGGAGCAATAGCACAATGGGTAGGGCATTTGACTTGTACATGGCCAACCTGGGTTTGATTTCTCCACCCCTCTCGGAGAGCCTGGTAAGCTACTGAGAGTATCCTGCCTGCACGGCAGAGCTTGGCAAGCTCCCCGTGACATATTCGATATGCCAAACACAGTAACAAGTCTCACAATGGAGACGTTACTGGGCCCGCTGGAGCAAATCAATGAACAACCGGAGGACAGTGCTACAGTGCTACATTTATTGGGGCCTTAGTGATAGTACAGTGGACTGGGCTCTTGTGCACTCGGTCAACCTGGGTTCGAGCATATGGTCCCCCAGCCCACCAGGAGTAATCCCTGAGCATCCCCGAATGTGCCCCCAAGTCCAAAAAATAAAAACTCAGATTTTGGAACATTATATTACTGAAACCCAACATGAACAACTAACTGTGTACCTCACTGTGATTCAATTTTTAAAAATAATCACTGTATCACTGTCATCCTGTTGTTCATCGATTTCCTCAAGCAGGCACCAGTAATGTCTCCTTCGTCCTAGCCCTGAGATTTTAGAAAGTGCCATATTCGAGGCTCTTTCAGGGTCAGGAGAATGAGACCCCTCATTATTACTGATTTTTGGCATATTTAATACACAAAAGGTAGTTTGCCAGACTCGGCCATGAGGGCAGGATACTTTCAGTAGCTTGCCAGGTTCCTCAGAGTAAGAACTAGATGGTAACATGTTGTGCGGCCACATATGTGGCCACGTGCTTCCACATGCTATGTTTTATAGTCTCTGTGTCTTGGCAGTTGATGAGATTTAAAAATATATCTATTTTTAAAAAAAAGTACATTTCTCATTTCTCATACCAGCCGATAACTAAGGCGAATGTTTATAAATTACTTTTATTCTGCCAGTCGATTATGAAGCAGATTCAAAAACTTATTGGGAAAAGTGCTGGGAGTGGGTAGTAATTTTAAATAGAAGACACAAGGAATACTTCTTTTAGGAACGGAAGGGGTCAAAACCTGGAACAAGCCAGCAGACCAGCGCTTACAGATTTGCAGTTGAGTCATGAAAAACAAGCGCTGGGAACTGGTCGCATCTGCCAGACTCCCCGGTGTCGCGCGCCGATTGACGTGGCATTGACGTTAACTGGAAAAAGGCGACTGCCTCTAGGCCTCCATTTTGCTTCCTGGCACCGCACCTAGAGCCAGTTTCTGCCTCGCCCGCCAGACCTTAACATTATCAGACTGGGTGCCCACTTCCCTTCGCCTCCACTGGACGCGGTCCAGCGTCAGAGGAAATGAAAAGGGGGGGCGTCTGGATGCACGCTGGGACCAACGCAGCCCTGCCGCCCTCACTCAACATGGCGCCGCCGGCTTCGCTCCTGGTCCTGTGCGGGCGGCGCGCATGCTCACGCCACTCCCCTGGCCCCGTTTTGTGGGTGGGCGTAGGGGCGAAGCAAGGATTGGAGTCCAGAGGCGGAGCCTCAAGTCGTGGGCGCCGGACCGGCCGCAGTCCTCCACTGTGCTGGAGATGGAGTCGATGACCGCCCCTCCCGACAACGCGGAGCGGCTGGGGGCCCCGGCGGGCTCGGGTCTGTCGGCTTCCCAGCGTCGGGCCGAGCTGCGGCGGAGGAAACTGCTGATGAACTCGGAGCAGCGCATCAACCGAATCATGGGCTTCCACAGGCCCGCGGGTGAGCGCCCCCGCTTCCCCTCCCTCCCGCCGCCGCTTTGAGCCTGCAGAATCATCCCTCGTGGCCCATGCTCCATCCTGCTGACCAACCTGGCTCGTCGGTGATGCTCCGAGTTCTCCCTCCTTGCCCTCCGGACCGTGCGACTGGCTGCCCTCGGTTTTTGCCGGTGTTGCTCCCTGGGGTCTTTTTACTCCCGCCGCTGGGTGCCCCTGCCGCGCTCCTCGCCTATGACAGCCCCCCCCCCTTTCCTTCCCCACTCCTTGGCCTCGCGTGCAGGTGCAGCCTGTTGTGCCCCTCTGGAAGATTTCTCGCCATTCCGAACGCTGTCCTGTCCACTGCGTTCCCGGATGTCTCCCTCTTTTTGCTATAATAATCGCACACATGCACTTGTCTTCAATTGAACTGTCCCCCAGTTCTGTCTACCTGGCTCAGGCCTTCTTACCTTAGTATCTCGTATCTGTGGTCAGTAGCCTCCGGTGAAAAGTATAGGACTGGACATTCTTTATAGACCCAACAAGTGGGACGTGCGTAGGTCCGTAGTTCCCAGTGTGCTGAGATTGATGACAGGAACTGTATTTAATCTAAAAGGAGTACCTCATTTCTCCCCCAGGCACAATTTTGGTGAGTTCATTGAACACTTAGTATGTGCAGGTGCCTCCCAGGTTTCCATGGAACCTTGCCCTAAGTCACTGGATGCAAGTTTCTTAGATCTCTGTGCCTTCTGTAACATACATCTTAGATATATAGCTTTGAACTTTATAGGCATGTCACAGATTTGCAGATTGGAACTAGGTAAGCATTATTTTAAGTTCTAAAGAAATAGTTAAAAGATGTATTTCTTGGATTAAAGAGATGGTAGGGCGTGTAAGGCACTTGCCTTGCACTGTCCTGGTTAGGTCCCCTGCACCACATTTGTTCCCACAAACCATTCTAGGAATGATCCCCGAGCACAGAGCCAGGAGTGAGCCCTGAGCACTGCAGGGGTTGGGTGTGGTCTCCCTTCAAAAAAGACATTTCTTCCCATAATGATTAAAACAGGATGTTTATTCTTTCTCAAAGTTCTTATTTATTTCTTTTGGTTACATTCTGTCCTTTGTTCTTTTGCTTTGAAAACTGTTGTCTTTTAAATATTTTTTTTGTTTTTTGTTTTGGGGCCACACCCAGTAGTACTCAGGGCTTCCTAGTTCTTGTCAGTGCTCAGGGGACCCTCTGTGGTACCAGGGACAGAACCTTGTTTGGATAGGTGCAAGGCAAGCACCTTACTTGCCTTATATTATCTCTCTGGACCTTCTATTTATTATTATTTTTAAATTTTATTTATTTATTTATTTTTGCCTTTAGGGTCATACCTGGCAATGCACAGGGGTACTCCTGGCTCTTCACTCAGGAATTACTCCTGGTGGTGCTCAGGGTACCATATGGGATGCTGGGAATTGACCGTGGGTCGGCTGTGTGCAAGGCAAACGCCCTACTCGCTGTGTTATCACTCCAGCCCCTGGACCTTCTATTTAACTTTTAAATCAAAACAGCATTCTAATGCAACTTAAGCATCTACTATTACAATTAATGGCTTCCTGGCTATAATAGAAGGATTACATAAAGCAGAACTGTTGCATATGCCACACCCTACACTGATGGGATTCTGTCTGCAGTAATCTGATATTAAAATAGATTTTTTTTTTGGCTTTTTGGGTCACACCGGCGATGCACAGGGGTTACTCCTGGCTCATGCACTCAGGAATTACCCCTGGCGGTGCTCGGGGGATCACATGGGATGCTGGGAATCGAACCTGGGTTGGCCGTGTGCAAGGCAAACGTCCTCCCCGCTGTGCTATCACTCCAGCCCCTAAAATAGATTTTTAAAAGGGTTTAATAATTGAACATTTTTAGCGAAGTAAATGGGAGCAGGCAATACACTTCATAGTTCTGGGACATATTATCCATGGAAACTCACTTCATCCCTGATTATCTTTCTACTTTGTCTACCTTTGGTTCCCGAAGTTTGCAGTATAGTCTCTGAAGGTTTTTTTTTTTTTTAATTTTTATTACTGAAGCATCATGAGATACAGTTGTGGACTTACAAATTTTTGTGCTTGGGTTTCAGTTATACAATGATCAAGTACCCATCCCTCCATCTGTGCCCATTCTCCATCACCACTGATCCCAGTATCCCTCCCACCCACTCCCCATCCCCCCATCCCACCCTTCCTCTGTGGCAGGGCACTCCCTTTTGTTCTCTCTCTCCTTTTGAGTGCTGTGGTTTGCAAAAGAGGAATTGAGTGGCAATCATGTTCGGTCTATAGTCCACTTTCAGCATGCATCTCCCATCCTGGGAGGATCCTCCCAATACCCTTTATTTGGTACTCCCTTCTCTATCTGAGCTGCCTTTTTCCCTAGCGTGTGCAGCTGGTCTCCTAGCCATGGAATAAACCTGCTGGTATTTATCTTGGCTATTCTTGGGTGTTAGTCTCCTATTTTGTTACTTTATGTTCCCCAGATGAATGCAATCTATGTCTGTTCCTCTCTTTCTGACTCATTTTGCTTAGCATGATACTTTCCATGTAGTACCACTTATATGTAAATTTCATTACTTCATCTTTTCTAACAGCTACATAGTACTCTATTTTGTAGATGTACCAAAGTTTCTTTAACCAGTCATCTGTTCTCGGGCACTCAGGTTTTTTCCAGATTCTAGCTATTGTAAACAGTGCTGCAATGAAAAAACAAGTGCAGATGTCACTTCGACTATACTTTTATGCTTCTCTGGGATATATTCCTAGGAGTGGTATTACTGGGTCAAATGGGAGCTCAATTTCTAATTTTTTGAGAATTATCCATACTGTTTTCCAGAAGGGCTGAACCAGTCGGTATTCCTACCAGCAGTGAAGGAGGGTCCCTTTCTCACCACATCCGCGCCAACACCGGTTGCTTTTGTTCTTTTGGATGTGGGCCAGTCTCTGTGGTGTGAAATGATATCTCATTGTTGTTTTGATCTGCATCTCCCTGATGCTGAATGATGTAGAGCATTTTCTCATGTGCCTTTTTGCCATTCAGATTTCTTTTTTGAGAACGTTTCTGTTTATTTCATCGCCCCATTTTTTGATGGGGTTGGATGTTTTCTTCTTGTGGAGTTCAACCAGTAGTTTGTATATCCTTGATATGAACCGCTTGTTGGACGTGTATTGAGCGAATATCCTTTCCCATTCTGTAGACTGTATTTGTAATTTGGTTACTGTTTCTTTTGATCTGCAGGGATATATCTGGGTAGTCAATTTTGAAGGTGTAGATAGGGGAAGAAAGTAGGTCGTGTTTTCTACAGAGTCAGTTTTTCGATGTAGACATGCATGGTCTAGCTGTTGCAGCATGTGTTTTGGCTATTAACATGAAAGGTCTGACAGGATGCTATATAATAAGATGTCCAAATTTCTTTTCTCAGAAGAAGAAAGTCAAATAAATTCCAAGTCACAGGACAGCGATAAACTCAGCTCCCTCAACATTCCTTCTGTTTCCAAGCGGGTAGTGCTGGGTGATTCGGTGAGTACAGGCACTCCAGAGCAGCAGAGTGGAGTGGCCGAGATGATGGGAACTCCACTGGGAGACAAACTGGATTCGTTGATGAAATCTCCTGAGTGCAGTAATGACATCAACCTGGAACTCCGGCAGCGCAGCAGAGGGGAACTGACAGCTGATGCTGGCCAGAGGGCTTCTCGCCATGGCCTCGAACAGTATCTCTCCAGATTTGAAGAAGCAATGAAACTAAGGAAACAGCTGATCAGTGAAAAACCCAGTCAAGAGGATGGGAATGCATCAGAAGAATTTGACTCTTTTCGAATATTTAGATTGGTGGGATGTGCTCTTCTTGCCCTCGCAGTCAGAGCCTTTGTCTGCAAATATTTGGTAAGAAGCATAATCGATACTGCAGATAGTTTTAATAAGAAGCACTTCTAGTCCATAGGATTCATTGCCAGTGTTAATTTAATACTTGCCAAATTTGCATGACTGTTTGGCAGTGTTTATGAATTTCACTTCAGTTATATAACAAGGTGGTCCAAGTAAATAAAGAACCCAGGCATACTCTGTTCTAGGGGTACCTTCCTCCCAGATTTGTGTGCGTAATCTCACATTTACTTTTGGTCTCTGGAGAATCTTACATTCTCTTTAGAATTAGTATCCTTCTTAATAAAAATCATTTTACTTCCACCCAAAATATACATCAGAATTCATGGTGATTGTTACTCTCTGTATACGCTAGATCCCACAATAAGTGCATCGATTATGTGAATATTAATTTAATCTTTTCTTTTTGGGGGTGGCCACAGTGCTCAGGGATTATTTCTGGCTGTGCTTAGGGGAGCATATAGGATGCCAGGGATCGAACCTGGGTCATCCTCATGATTGGAAACACCCTACCTGCTGTACTATCTCCTGGAGATTCATGTACTTTATTTATTTATTTATTTTGGTGTTTGGGACATAGTGATGATGATCAGAAGTTTCTTCTGCCTCTGTACTTAAGAATTACTCATAGTGCTCAGGGGACCACTTGGGATGCCAAGGACCTCATCTGGTTGTTCATGTGCTCATATTCAAGGCAAACGCAGCACCCACTGTACTATCTCTCTGGCTCCACTTCATTTAATTCTTAATCTTCTATAGTAGATATCTTTTTTATAGATGGTAGTGAAAACTCAGAGACATTAAATCATCTTCCCAAGTTAAATGTTAGTGCCAGCTGAGATTAAATCCTTTTCATTCCAAACCCAAGGATCACTGTATTACTATATCACTGTCATCCCTTTGTTCATTGATTTACTCGAGTGGATACCAGTAATGTCTCTATTCCTCCCAGCTCTGAGATTTTAGCAGCCTCTCCTTACTCATTTTTCCCAGTGATTGGAGGCTCTTTCAGGGTCAGGGGAATGAGACCTGGCATATCGAATACACCATGGGTAGCTTGTTAGGCTCTGCCCATGCGAGGATAAATATATATATATAAATTTATATTTATTTATGCTTGCTAATTATAATTTATAATTATTAAATATATTATTAAATAATATAATGTATTCTAAACTTGTTGAAATGTGTTCTTTATATACATGTTGAATTTTTTTGTGGTTCTGATATGTTTTGCCATTTTATTTAACTTTTTTTTTTTTGGAGGGGTCACACCTGGCATTGCATAGGGGTTACTCCTGTCTCATGCACTCAGGAATTACTCCTGGCGGTGCTCGGGGGACCATATGGGATGCTGGGAAATGAACCCAGGTTTGCTGCATGCAGGGCAAATGCCCTACCCGCTGTGCTATTGCTCCAGCCCCTATTAAAAAATTTAAATATATATATATATATATATATATATATATATATATACAGACACACATATATACATAGACACAGTAACAACAAAGTCTCCAATGGAGATGTTACTGGGCCCGCTCGAGCAAATCGACGATCAACGGGAGGACCTTTACCTTACCTTACCTTACCTTACACATACATATATATATATATATATTTTTTTTTTTTTGGCCTTTTGGGTCACACCTGGTGATGCTCAGGCATTACTCTTGACTCTGCAGTCAGGAGTTACTCCTGGTGTTGCTCTGAGGACCATATGGGATGCCAGGGATCAAATCTGGGTTGACTGCGTGCAGGGCAAACATTCTGACCCCCATTTTGCCACTTTATAATGTATTACTATGACAGTCCATTTTTATTATGAAGGCATGCAGTAAATTATTAACTCACAATTCATTGGTTCTTTGATATATTTTCATTCAGTGGATTTTTTTTTTCTTTCTTGGTTCAAAACCATATGTGTCTATGCACAGGGACTCTGCTAGATCTTGGGGATCAGAGGCTTCTGCATGCCAAACGTACAGCCCAAGGCCAGAATGATAGTATAAGGCTCTTGCCTTGCATGTGGCCAATCCGGTTTTGATCTCCAGCACCGCAGAGCCCATGTGGTACCCCAGCCTTGCCAAGAGTAATCCCTGAGTGCAGAGCCAGGGGTAATCTCAGAGCACCACTGGGTGTGTCCATAAACAACAACAAACCAAAGCGCTTGCATTCCAGCTTGATAAACTATATCCCTGGCCCTCAGTAGGCATTGTGAGAAGACCTATGGGGCCGGAGATAGTACAGTAAGTAGGTAAGATGCTTGCTTTGTATTCAGCAGGAACTGCATATAACCCTGAGCTACCCCAGGAGTGCCCTGAGCATGGGCCCCCTCAAAAAAAAAAGTTAAGGATTCCTACCGTGTACCAGGCACATTAAAAAAAAATGTAGGTCATTAAAGTTTATATCATTAAAGAAGAACATTTTTCAAACCTATTTTTTGGATGTTTTATCTATATGGGTGGGAGACCAGAGCACACCCTGTGGTGCTTGGGGACTGGTCCTGACGGTGCTGATAGTGACAGGCTGGAGGATTGAACCAGACCTGCCGACATGCAAGACCATTGCCAGAACCCAGAACCCTTGTGGTGTCTTGTGCCTGTGCAAATACTTCAGAGAGAAACTTAGATTTGATTTTGTTTTTCTGATGTGCACTGGCAGAGTTTGCTTTTTTTCCCTTCTGTTAAAGTCTCTGGGTTATTTTGTCTTTAAACCTATGTACTACTTTCATGGCTTGTTTCTGTGTTTTCAAAATTTTCTTTATTAGGTTTTAAACATTGTTATTTTTTTATTGCTCTCACTGTACTTCCATCTAGTATTTCCTTCTTCATTCCCCGCTTTTTTTTTAATTGATCTGTAGTAAAAAAAAATAACCATATGATGACCAGAGATGTAACCATAGGAGTTAGTTCCTTTAAAGTATAAAGAATAGGGGCTGGAGCGATAGCACAGCAGGGAGGGCGTTTGCGTTGCATGTGGCCAACCCGGGTTTGATTCCCAGCATCCCATATGATCCCCTGAGCACCACCAGGAGTAATTCCTGAGTGCAGAGCCAGGAGTAACCCCTGTTTATTGCCGGGTGTGACTTAAAAAGCAAAAAATAAATAAATAGATAAAGGCCCTCCTGTTGATCGTCGATTTGCTCGAGCGGACCCAGTAACGTCTCCATTGGAGACTTTGTTGTTACTGTGTCTGGCATATCGAATACTCTCGGTAGCTTGCCGGGCTCTCCGAGAGGGGCGGAGGAATCGAACTCGGGTTGGCCATGTTGGCTGCGTGCAAGGCAGACGCCCTACCCGCTGTGCTATCGCAGGCAAATAAATAAAGTATGAAGAATATCTGATACCTATTTTGGTTACTAGTCCTTTTTAAGTATACTTTGAATTGTTAACTACTTTCAAATGAGAGATATATTTCTGTATCATGTACATGTCTATGATGTCTTTGTAGGCAACAGATCATAGAGTGAAATACATACATACATATATATATATACATATATATATATATGCCTTGGAGTGCCCAGCAAGCTACTGAGAGTATCCTGCCCACATGGGCAGAGCCTGGCAAGCTACCCATGTTGTTCGATATGCCAAAACCAGTAACTATAACGGGTGTCATTTGTTGGGAAAGACGATTAAGGAGAGGCTGCTAAAATCTCAGGGCTGGGATAAATAGAGACATTACTGGCACCCGCTCGAGTAAATTGATGAACAACAGGATGACAGTGATACAGTGATCATGTACATGTCAGTCTAAAATACTTTGGATATATATGTGTGGGGAGGGACATCCCAGCTGTGCTTACTCCTGTCAGTGCTCAGGAGAACATGTACTGTGCCAGGGAGCAAACTGGTTTTGACCACACGCAAGGCAAGTGTCTTATGCCCTCTACTACCTCTCCAACCCCTGAATATTTCTGTATTAAGGATCTTAAGCAGTAGTGCAGGGGGTAGTGCCCTTGTACACGGCTGGCTTGAGTTTGATACCCGTATGGTTCCTTGAGCTCGCCAGGAGTGATCCTTGAGTACAGAGCCAGTGAGTAAGCCCTGAGCACTGCCAGTTATGGCCCGAAAACAAATTTAAAAAAGAAAAAAGTATTTTTTCATCACAGAGTACTTTAAAGATAATTTTTTTTTGAGGGGTGAGGTGTGGGCCACTCCAGTCATGTTCAGGGCTTACTCTTGACTCTGCTCAGGGCCACTTCTGGTGGTGCTCAGGGGATTATATAGGTGCTAGGGATGGAATCAGAGTTGGCCGTGTGCAGAGCACATGCCTTATTCCCTGTGCGCTCTCTCTCTTCGGCTCTAAAACATGTTTTATGTGAGAGGACATGTTTTGGAACATTAAAAAAGAGTGTGACCTGGGCTGGGAATATGATTTATAGGGCATGCATTACATCGCTTTCCCCCAGTTCAATCCCAGCACTGCATGGTCCCCTCAAAACCAAAAAAGAACTCAGCGTCTTCTGGGGGCCTGAAAGAGAGCTTAAAGAGCTGGATTATGTGTGTTGAGTGTGTGATGAAAGCTGTAGCCTGAATTTGATCCCTGGCACTGCATGGTTTCTTGAGCACCGCCAGGACCCCGTCAAGTGCCACTGGGTATGATCCCAAAGGACAAAATAAAACGATGCGATTTGATGTGGGAAACACGACTTAAGATTAAAACATAACTTGGGGCTGGAGTGATTGCACAGCGGATAGGGTGTTTACCTTGCACGCAACCGACCCAGATTCGATTCCCAGCATCCCATATGGTTCCCTAAGCACCGCCAGGAGTAATTCCTGTGCATTGCTGGGTGTGACCCAAAAAGCAAAAAAAAAAAGATCAAATCATAATTTATGATTGAATTCTTTTATTTTCTTTACCTGTCGACTTTTAGCCACTAAAGTTAAATGATGCAATTTTGTGCTTGGAATTTTATAGCTGTTATTAGCTTCATTTACTGTGATTTGAATGATTATATTGGACATAATGTAATTTTATTTGTTTTCTTTACAGTCCATCTTTGCTCCATTTCTTACATTACAACTTGCGTACATGGGACTATACAAATATTTTCCCAAGGTAAACTGGAGTTTTGTTTAAGTTATATTAATGTATATGGATTGATTAATAAGTAGATTATTTTAAGAACCTTAAAATAATTAGTGACATCTCAGTCTAGGCTTCTTAAATATGCTTGGCCCAATGTTAATGATACTCAAATATTTGTTTAAGTTTGCAGTGATTCAGTTCAGCAATTTAATAACGAGAAACTTATTTTTTTACTTTTGGGCTAAACCTGATGATGCTTAGGGGTTCCTCCTGGCTTTGCACTCAGGAATTACTCCTGGTGGTGCATGGGGGATCATATGGGATGTGGGGGATTGAACTCTGGTCTCTGCGTGCAAGTCAAGCACCCTCCTCGCTGTACTGTTGCTGTGAAACTCATTTTTATGGCCACTTGATATTGCTGTAGCACATTATTTTACAAAGACGTTGGGACATGCTAGATTGGGAGAAACCTCTTGGCTGGGAGGGAGATGCTGTTCAAGGGCAGAGTGTGTGCTGTGCAGACTCAAGCCTGGGTTTTTTCCTGTTACCAAAGCAAAAAAAGATAGTAGAGTTTGAATAGTATGTATTTAAGAAAGTCTGGGCCAGAAAGATATTACAGTGGGTATTGTGCTTCCCTATACACAGCTGATCCAGGTTCAATCCCTGGCAACTTAGAGTCGGCCAGGAGTGATCTCTGTGTGCAGAGCCTGGAGTAAACCCTGATCACTGCCAGGTTATTTTTTTCAACAAAAAATTTTTGTTTTATTTGTTTTTGGACCATACCTGCTGTGCGCAGTTGCCGCTCCTGGCACATTATTCAGGGATTGCTCCCACGAGTGCTTGGGGACCATCCAGTGCTGGGAATTGGACCTGGGCCTCCCACAAGCCAAGTATGCGTTCCAGCCTTTGAGCAGTTTCCCTAGCCCCCAAAAGCAGTTAAATGTACAGAAAAGTTGAAAGAATTGTGAAGTAACTTTGGTGCTTACCACTGAGATCCTATAATTTCCTTTTATTATGTATTTAGTTCTGTATACTTTCAGTGCTGCTTTTTTAATCACATCAAGTCCATGTAGTTATAGACATCAGCGAATCATATCCATTGCAGCTTACATGTCATTAAAGTCATTGTGTATAGTTCTTTATTTATTTATTTGTTGGCTTTTTGGATCACACCTGGCAATGCACAGGGGTTACTCCTGGCTCTGCACTCAGGAATTATCCCTGGCGGTGCTCAGGGGACCATATCGGATGCTGGGAATCGAACCCGGGTCAGCCGCATGCAAGGCAAATGCCCTACTCGCTGTGCTATTGCTCCAGCCCCAGTTCTTTATTTTTTATTTTAGGTTAGAATTACTCAAAAAAAAATTTTTTTTAATGGTGGGCAGGGATCACACCCGGTGGTATTCAGGGCTTACTCCTGGCTCTGGGCTCATGGCTCACTCCTGAAGTGTTTGGGGGAGACCATATGGGATGCTCTAGATTGATTGATGTTTGGGACACACCTGGCCATGAACAGGAGATTACTACTGGTTCTGCACTCAAGAATTACTCTTACAGTGCTCAGAAGACCACATAGAATGACCAGACTTGGGTTGGACGTGTGCAAGGCAAATGCCCTATGTGCTATACTATTGCTCCAGTTCCTACTGCTCAAACTTCAGTGCCATTTCAATAAGCTTAAACAACTTGTAAAAAATAAGTTCTTTCAAGATTTTTGAGCATTTTTGTTACAATTTTGCCTCTTTCCACGTATCCCCAGCACAAATATCTTGAAAGCCCAATTTCCTTTCCAATTATAGATTTGCCTATTTTTTGGCACATATAAATGAGAATGTTTTCTTGTTTTTTTAGCTTTTTTTATTTTCTAAGAATAAAATAGAAGTTTTTATTTTTTATTTTGTATATTCACTTATTTAATTTCCTGTTGATGGACATCTTGGTGGTATCCAATTTTGGGTTATTATGATGAAAGCAGCTATGGATTTTTTAAAAAAATTTTTATTAGTGAATCACCGTGAGGTTTACAGCTACAGACTTACAGACTTTTGTGCTTGTGTTTCAGTCATACAATGCTCGAGTACCCATACCTCCACCAGTGCTCATTGTCCACCACCGATGTTTCCAGTATCCCTCCCATCCCCCCACCCCATCCTCCCCACTCCACCCTGCCTCTGTGACAGGGCATTCCCATTTGTTCTCTCTTTCCTTTTGGGTGTTGTGGTTTGCAGTAGAGGTATTGAGTGGCCATCATGTTCGATCTATAGTCTACTTACAGCACACATCTCCCAACCCAAGCGGGTCCTCCAACCACACTTTACTTAGTGTTCCCTTCTATATCTGAGCTGCGTTTTCCTCCAGCATGTGAGGCCAGCTTCCACAGCTAAGAATTTTCTTATGAGTATTTTTGTGCATTTCGGCTTTGATTTCCCGTAAGTTACTGTATTTAGATAAGGCTTTTTATATATAAGGCAAGTGCCTTAATCCCTGTCCTATCTCTTGGGTCTATCCTTTTGTATTTCTTAAATTTTTGGATCAAGTGATTGAATTTGATACCAAATAAGTCAAATGAAAAATTCAGTCTTTTTTTTTCTTTTGTGGGGGCGGTTAATATCTAGCAGTGCTTAGGGGCTGATTCTGGTTTTGTGCTCAGAAATAACCCTTGGTAGTGCCCAGGACCAATATATTGGTGCTGGGGATTGAACCAGGGTCAGCCACTTAATAGGTAAGTGCCTTAACCCCTGTACTATATCTCTCCAGCTTGGTTTGAACCTTTCTGTAGCAAGAATGATTTTTTTTTCCCACTGTCTAAACATTTTCATTGTAGATTGACATTTTGAAATTTAATAGTTTAGAGAACAGTGAGGCAAACATAGCAGAACTGATGAACTTATTTTTCTAGAGCTTGTGTACTCTTCTAAAAGCTGTGAGACTTATTTAAATCTTTCTCTTTTACAGGGTGAAAAGAAGGTAAAGACAACGGTACTCACAGCTGCACTGCTGTTATCTGGAATTCCTGCCGAAGTGATCAATCGCTCAATGGATACATATAGCAAAATGGGCGAAGTTTTCACAGATCTCTGTGTCTACTTTTTCACTTTTATCTTTTGTCACGAACTGCTTGATTATTGGGGCTCAGAGGTGCCATGATGCCTGCAGAATTCCGAAGCAGCTAACAGGGCGGGGATAAGGCTCAGTGTGGAGCATTTGCCTTTCCTCTGTGAGGCCCCACGCTTCATCCCTGGCACTGCCAAAAATAAAAGCAACAGAAGAAACCTACTAAAAACCCCCGTCTTTTTCTGAAGTGTCTCTAAAGGAGGCAGATCGGTTTACACCTTCATATTTAAACCTTTACTTAATAGAAGTTGTAAAACGACTTGATCAATGGCAGGTTCCCTGATTTAGGAGGGTTCATCTGTATTGATGCCAGTGCCATTAATTGAGCTTTTTCTTGTTTAGTTAGCCCGCTTGACCTTTCATACTTCCTTCAATTTGTAATTCTTCTTAGGGGCTGAGCTTGTACATTTAAGGAGAGCAGATGAGCATGGTCTCAGCCATTAAGGAGAGCATCTTGGATTTGTGTTGTTTTATGCTAAGAAATTGAGCCATCTTATGATGAGAAAAATTTGTACATAAACAAGTGTGCACATTCTAACTTATAAGGGCTGACCAAGATAGGCAAATTTTTTTCCTTTTCTTAATTTTTACTGTAGTTGAAGTATTTAATGAAAAAATGATTAATATTTGTTTATGTGAAATTAGAGAATCTATATTGAAATCTTTATTTTTTGTTTTGGAGTGCATAGAGACTAAGCAGTGTGCAGAGACTTTTCTTGATTTTTTTTTTTTTTTTTTTTTTTTTTTTTTTTTTTACTTTTTGGGTCACACCTGGCAATGCTCAGGGGTTACTCCTGTCTCTGCACTTAGTAACACTCCTGGTGGTGCTCAAGGGACCATATGGAATGCTGGGGATCAAACCCGGGTTAGTCGCGTGCAAGACAAATGCCCTACCCACTATACTGTAACTCTGGCCCTCTTGACTTCTTGATCAGGAGTCACTCTTGGTGGTGCTTGCGGGACGATGTAGTGCTAGGGATCAAATCTGGGCCACCTTGATGCAAAACATGCACTTCAGCCCAATGAGCTATCTCTCGGGCCCTTTATTTTTATCTTTTGTTTTTGTAGTTTTCTAGTTACCAAATGCAGAATTGGATATTTTCACTTTTGAGTTAAAAATTTTAACAAGTATGTTTTATAAGCAACTAGAATAGAATGATTAGACATAAAAGTGGCATTTGAAGTACTTAGTGAGGTATGCAGACAAGTAACTATGACTATCTTTTAAAATAAACACTCATATTTGGATGTGTTTCCTTAAAACATAAAGCGTAAGTGTTATGTCCTTGGTGTTACATATCCTTATAGATTTTTGTATGGTATACTTTTTATTTGGTTAATTCTTGTGATATTAAAAGCATATGTACTTTCTTTTAATACTCATAAAAATCTTGATTTTTGTCATTTTATTTTGAACCAAAATTGTGGAGAATAAGAATAATAACTTCTGACTTTTATACCTGTTTTCTGAGTCCATAATGAAACTGGTATCAAAAGATTGGAAAGGATTCTGGGATTTGTTAATTTTCCCCTTTGTAGGACACTTACCTTCAATGGCTCACATTAAGTAGTTCTTTCGTTTTTTAGTGTTTGCAAAAAGAAGGCCACCACATTTAATCTGTGGACACATGCAAAGTTTTAATTAACAAAATTTATTATTATTTCAGTTTGGGGACTGAAATGCATCAGTGTGCACATGACTTTCTGTGCTATGTGCTCAGAGATCACTCCGAGAGTGCTTAGGGAGCCACTCATGTGATGCTGGCAATTGAACTGTCGGCTTACATGCAAGTGCCTGGCCTGCTGGCCAACAAAATCTTCTGGCCAACAAAAGATTCTTTTTAATTGAAGTAAGATAATTTTATTTAAAAAAATGTAAGGAGAGTCAGTGAGAGAAAAAGCACGTACCACAGATTGTGATGTGGAAAGAGAGAATGCCAGTAATTTTTTAATAATTATTTATTTAATTCAATTAACAAAATTTATTATTTTTTTGGTTTCAGTGCCACTTTTTCTCTCCAGTTGACTAGCTTCTCCCTGAATGCTTGCTGAAGTTTACTGAATAGCTTAGTATCATAAGGAAATGGAAACTTCCTATTGTTTTGACTGATAATTTTTTAGAAATTTTTGGAATTTGAAATATTTGAGTTAAAAGTAGATCAGCAAGATGATTGTTTAGAGGTTACATCTTAAACCACTTTACCCAGTAACTTTTCAGTCAGATTAATTATATAAATGGCCTCTTGATTGGTACTAAAATAGTAAGAGGGTTAAGAGATAGTCAGAACTGGGTTAATTAGAATCAAAATCTGGTTTTTTTTTTTTTTGGAGGGCACAGCTGACAATGCTTAGGGGTTACTCTTGACTCTGCATTCAGAAATCACTCCTACCTGTGCTCAGGGGAGGACCATATAGGATGCTGAGGATAAAATGTTACACATTTTATAAAGTCTCATATCTCCTTGAGATATATAGTTACAGAGTTGTCCAAGACTGGGTTTCAGTCATACAATGTTTTAACACCCATCCCTTCACAAGTATATCTTTCCTACCACCAATGTCCCCAATTTCATTTTTGTTTTGTTTTGGGGGTACACTTGCTTGGGAGTAGCTATAGGCAGTGCTCAGGAGTCCATGTGGGTTCTAACCTCTAACCCACTCCTTTTTTTTTTTATTAGTGAAACACCACGAGGTACAGTTATAAACTTACAAATTTTTGTGCTTGGGTTTCAGCTATACAATGATCAAGTACCCATCCCTCCACCAGCGCCCATCCTCCACCACTACAGGTCCCAGCATCCCTCCCACCCCCTAGCCCCCCCCCCCCCTCTGTGGCAGGGCATTCCCTTTTGTTCTCTCTCTTTCTTTTTGTATGCCACTCCTTTGAGCTATCTCCCAGGCCCCATTGCTGTTACATTAAGGAAGAAAAAAACCAAAACCCTAGGGGGCAGTGAGGAAGCTCATAGAGCTAGAGTGCATGCTTGGCATGCAGGAGGCTCATATATGATCTCTAGCACCACATGGTCCCTTGGGCACCACAGTGTAAGGCCACAGAACAGTAACAATTTAAAAATCTTATCTAAGTAAAACATTGTAACAGTTAAATTGAACTAAGGGGCCAGGGAGAGTCCTGGCCCACCAAGGCTTTGCCTTGACTTTGGCCAAAATTGGTTTGAATCCTGGCACCACTCAACAGTTTCCTGAGCACGTCTAGGTGTGCATATCCCCCAATTTCCCCTCAAATGAACAATAAATTCATAAAGCCATACCCAGTGATACTCAAGGGTTACTCCTGGCTCTGGACTCAGGAATTACTCCTGGAGGTGCTCGGGGGACTGTATGGGATGGCAGGAATCAAACCTAGGTTGGCTGCATGCAAGACAAGCACCCTAACTGCTATACTATCTCTTCAGCCCCCGAAAAGAAAGAAAAGGCTTTCTGGGTGGTATGGGTCATACCTCAGGGTCCTTAAGGTCATCCTTAGTGGTGCTTAGGTGACCATCAGTGATGCCATGGATTGAACTGCATGCAAGGTAAATAAATGCCTTAGCTCCTGTACAATCTCTCCAGTCCAAGAGGTTTTTAAAATTTTATTTTTATTTTTGAGTCACATCAGTAGACACTCACGGGTTACTCATGGCTGTGCTCTGGGGAACCATATGGGATGCCAGGAATCAAACACGGGTTGGCCATGTGCAAGGCAAACTGCCCTACCTGCTGTGTTATTGCTCAGGCCCTGCCATTCCAAGAGTTTTGATGTGTAAATCTACTCAATGACCACTATAAAACTTCTGGGATCAGAGTGCTAGTATAGTGGGTAGGGTATTATCTTTGCTTGCCTTGCTTGCAGCTTAACTAGGTTGGATCCCTGTCACCGATCTGCAGTGTCGTGTCCCCTGGTTCATTCGGGACTGATAGTCATTCCCCCAGCTGATGGAAGAAAGAGTCACAGGCTGGTGGCTGGCAACACTTATTGAAAATTAGCCGGGCTAATACAGGAAGAGAGGAACTGCTTAAAGAGTGGGGGAACAGGGATAGAATGGGAAACAAGGCTGGGGAAGTACAGCACAGAGAAGTTTAACATAAACAAGGAGAATTAGAAGCCCAAACAAAACCAAAATGGTTTAGCAAGGAAATAGAAAATGTCCAATAAAAATGTTTGATTCTGACACACAGATGTTACCAATATGGATATAAAGGAGGTTGGAAGAAGGTAGGGAGGGTTGAGATGCTATACCTAAAGATAGTGGTGAGAGTATTTGACACTGATGTTGCAGTACTTGTACGTCAAAAGCACAAATATTGCAACACTATAACACCATAACCTAAAAAAAATTTTCCAATAGCACAGGAAACACTCCAGACCAATTAAATCAGAGTATTTGGACTAATTATAGGTGAAAATAACCAATCCATCCCTTTTTATTGGGGATTGTCTAGGGGAAACCATGCACCAGTGCTCAGGGTTTAGTTTTGGTTTTGTGTTCAGGGATACCTCTTGGCAGTGCTGGGGGGACCATATGACAACTGTAGTTGCATGCAAGGCAAGCTCCTTAACCCCTGTATTATATCTTTGATACCAATCCCTAAATTTTAAAAAAAGTATTCATTGTATGCTATTTTCATGATTCGTTTTAGATCTTTCATCAACTCCACCACGATCCAAATACTAAAACTGAAGACTATTCAATGATCAAATCTTACTTCGAGGGCCACTTCCTCAGGAAACATACATATGTGTTCCATATATGTTGTGTTTTCAGTGTTTTCAATGTTTTCATTCCTGGGATTTAGCACAATACCTAAGGAGGTACAAAAACGAATGCATACATAAATAAAAGCGTGAGAAGTGTGTAGCATCTCTTAGTGCAGGTTAAGGTGGATGTCAATCAATACACAACCTGGGGCCGCTCAGGGATGCCTTATGACGCCTTGGTGGTCTCCTGGCCGGGACGATCTTGACTGAACATGAGCATTGAGACATCTTACAAAGAGCAGTGACTTCTTGGAGGCGCCAAAACAAAACAAAACAAAACAAAAAAAACAAACCTCTCAGGCGTTTTCCTTGGGCGCGCGGCCTCCGGCCGAGAGGTGGCGCTATTGCAGAACCGGGAGCTTCCGTCCTCATTTCCTCTCCCTCCTGCCGCCGGCGCCGGCACTTCCTGTTTTCGTTGGCCGCCCTCGTATGGCCGTCAGCGCTGTCCGTGCCGCCTCCTGCAAGTGCTACTCCTCCCGGGGCCAGCGGGCGCTGCGCGGCCTCCCCTTTTGTCCGCTTCTCCAGCGCGTGTTCACGTGCGGCCGGCGGGATGGGCCGGGAGTCACGGTGAGGCCTGAGCGGGCTAGCGGCTTCCTGGGGCTGGGGGGGTGGCAGGGGCGGGAGCCGGGGGGGCCCGCAGGCCTGGCCGGGCCCGGCGCGACCCCACGTGCGGCCACTCCGGTGTCCTCGCCCTGCAGCTGGGTCGGCGGGCACCGGGGCCCGCCACTACACAGCCTCCCCAGAGGGGCTCCGGCCGGGGGTCCCGGCGCTGCGCATCTGCAGCCCCGCCTGGGCGCGCGTCCCTCCCGCGTCCCCTTCTCCCTGCGGGTGTGTTTTTCCTAAGTCCGTTTAGAGGAGCCTGCGGCCAAGCGTTACCTCCACCCAGCGGGGCAGGGTATGGTCAGGCGTCTACGGGGTGG